GGTTTTGGTAACAGGATAATGGTGGCCTCACAAAATTAATGGAAAGTGTTCCTTCCTTTTCAGTTTTCTGAGTTTGTGTAGATTAAACTTATATTTCTTTCCTGCCTTTTTTTTTTTTTTTTTGGTACTGGGAATCAAACTCAGGGCCTCATGCTTGCCAGCCAGGTGCTGTGCTGCTGAGGTATAGTCCCATCCCAAAGGTTTTAAAATATTTAATTGCTTTAAAAGACATAGGACTATTCAGATTATCTATTTCTTCTCGAGTGGGCTTTGGTAGTTTGTGTCTTTTAGGGGATTTTTTTTTTTAATTTTATTTAAGGAGAAAAGAAAAAAAAAGCAGGGAAAAGGGTACAAGCTATACAGATTTACAGAAAAAAAATGAACAGTAGGAAATCACTAGTTAATGGATTACATAGGGGATTTTTTCATGTCATCAAAGTTGTTAAATTTGCCATAAACTCCTGATATTCCCTTAATAGCTGTAGAATCTAGGATGCTGCCACCTCTTATTCTTGATAATGGTAGTTTATTTGCCCCTCTCCTCAGATATTCTAGCTAGAGGTTTATCAGTTTAATTGCATTTAAAGAGCTTGGTTTGGGGATTTATTATTTTTAGATTTTTATTAAGGAAAAAAACCATCCAGTGCATAAATTAGAAATACGAATTTTCACAAGCCAGATACAACCATGTTACTAGTCCTCAGATCAAGAGTCACAAGAATCAGGACAACACAGCTCCCAGAATCCTCTTCTGGTACCCCCAGCACGGACCCTCCCTACCAAGGGTCACTACCACTACTACTAACATTGCTGTTTTGCCTTTGCACTGACCAACATCACCAGGTGTTTTTATTTTTTCTTTTTAACTTTGAAACAGGGTTTTGCTAAGAAGTCACTTCTGTTGTTCTGGTTGGGCTAAAATTTTCAGTGTTCATACCTCATTCTTCCAAGTAGATGGGGGGACATGCATGTGGCACTATGCTGGGCACAAGAGTCACTTCTAGCAATGCCGACTTCTAACAGCATGAATTAGCTCTACTTATTCTTGAAACTTTACAGATAAATGGAGTCGTACATTATGGACTCTTTATTTTCTTCCATCTTTTACCATGTGAGATTCATCTCTGTTTTCTGTACAAGAATACTTCATTCAGTTTTCATTTCTGGTATACGTATATCACCATGAGTCGATCCGTGTTTTGTCAGTGGATCCTTGGGACCTAGCTTTCCTATAAACATTGCCTTTCTCTGCACCTGTGTGGCATCCTCCCCAGTGCAGGTCTAGGTGGGGCCGTGCTGGGTCAGAGAGCAGACGCTTGCTTAGCTTCAGTAGATCTGACTTCCTTGTTGTTTGTACCACTTGCATCCCATACCAGAGCAGGAGTGCTACGGTCTTGGAGAAGCATTGGCAAGGCTGTGTCCTGGCACACTGCTGATGTTCCCAGGTGTCTGCGACCAACCCTGGGGGCATATGAGATGCTGCGGAGGGGACAGTCTGCCGGTGCCAGCTGAGCTCTCCTCACAGCACTCGGCTGATGCCAGCCTGGGCCGGCTAGTTGATAAGGATGGAAACCGAAGTTACTGACGGGGCTGGTCTTTTCTCTAAAATGGGTATTTAGTGCTGTAAGTACCCTACGTACTTGATTATTGGCATACCATAAATCCTCATGTGCTTTTCCTCTAGTTGAAACACTTTTAACATATACGTTATTTACTTGCCAAGTATTTGAGGATTTTACAGAGATTTTTCTGTTAATTTAGGTATTCACTTGTGCCCTAATGTCATTTGTTGAAAAACTACTCTTTTACTATTGTTTTTGAACTCTGTTCTGTTCTAGTGGTGTCTGTGTCTTACCCTGATAACATTACCACAGTTTTGATCAGGTAGTTTCATACTACATTTAGAAATCCAAAATTGTGAACCCTCCCACTTTTAGCTATTCTAAGACCTTTGCAAATCCATGTGAATTTGAGCTTTTTTATTTCTGTGAAGAAAGACTTCTCAATTTTGATATGAATTGCATTGAAGACGTATCTTTTAAAGAGATTTAATAAGAAAAACAGATTTTTAAATTTTTTTTTTTTACCCACAGAATGAACCATTTCTAGTGATTTCCATTCTTGTAGATACAGGTTTTTATTTGGTACAATTTTGCTTCTGTGTGAAAGATTTTTTTTTTTTTTTTTTGTCTTTTTCCTTTTTATTGGTACCAGGGATCAAACTCACGACTGCCTGCTTGTAAGGCAGGTGCTTATGCCGCTGAGCTAAATCCCCAGCCCCGTGAAAGATTTTTTTACTTAAAATGCAGGGCTGGTATTGATAGATTCGGTCAACTTTTGCATGTCTCAAATGCTTGCCCACCCTTACCTGTGAAGTTCTCTCTGGGTTTGGTGTTCTCATTAACACATGAACACGCAGGGCTGCTGTAGTTGGAAGACACTCCTCCGTGTTTGGTGCATCAGAAGTGCCGGAGTCCTTGCTGTGCTCCTCCATAGGTCAGGCATTAATCTTCCTCTTTAGTATTTTCAACACATTACTGCTTTCAAGTAATTTTGTTACATCCTAGTATAGTTGTTTTCATATTTTTTGTGCTTGGAGTTGACAAGTTGCTAACATTTATAGGTATGTAATTTTTATCAAATTTGGACTTTAAAAGCTATTTTTCCTCAATTTTTTTTTTCTGTTCATCTCTTACTGTTTTCTGAAGGAATTTGAGATACTCGTAGAGTAGGACCCTTGACACACTACTGATTGATTCTCTGTCTCATTTTGGGTAGTTTGCTGTTTCCAAGTTGACTAATCTCTTCTGCACAAGGCACCTGCTGTTAATGCCTGCTTTTGCTCTTTTCTTTTCTTTCTTTTTTTGAGACAGGGTTTCACAGTGTGGTTCAGGCTAGCCTTGAACTCACTTTGTTTTTGTTTTTTTGTTTTTGGTACTGGAGATCAAACTTATGACCTCGCACTTGCCAGGTGTAGGCGCTTATGCTGCTGGGCTAAATCCCCAGCCCTTGAACTCACTTTGTAAGCCAGGCAGGCCTCGAACTCATCCCCTGCCCAAGCACTGGGATCAGAGCTACCACACCTGGCTGTTGCTTTTGGTTTCCGCAAGTTCCCAAGTTCCGTGTGAGTCTTTGTATCTTCAGTCTCTGCGTAGCATAGTCTTCTCTCCTCTGAATTCGGTAGCTGACATCTTGGCGGGCTGCTCCTTTGCAGCTGCATCAGGGCCCAGTGCCCACCCTTGATCCTCCCCTCCTTGGACCAGTTCCCTGGAATTTTGCCTGTAGGTGGATGGGTGTTTTTGTTTTCCTGTGTGTGTGCTTGAGCTTGATTCTTGTAATAACTTGGAAACATTGACCCTTTGGGATTTGTCTTTATACTTTGCTTGCTATGTCAGAGCAGTGCTTCATCCAGGCTGATTTTGCCAGTCCTTGGGAATGCTCCAGAGAATCAGGAGGACTCCCTCTGGCTGCCTGGAATGGGCCCTGTTTTTAGATGTTAGTGGTGGCAATTGTTCCTCTGCTCCTCTCTGTAGTCCTTTCTCATGGCTTCCTCAGCCCTGCGCTGACCGTCTATAGTGAAGGTTTGTCCAGTCTGCAGGCCAGCTGGCCTTTTCTTTCTGCCACCTTTCTCCAGCTCCTCCACAGATCTGTCACCTCCCTGCTGCCACCCCCTCAAATCCCCTTTCTGTGCTGGGACTGAGAATTTTCTTTCTGAGGGATAAGGGCCACCATGGGACTCCTCTCATTCTCCTTCCTGTCTCTCATTATCTGGTGCTAGTGACTTGAAAACTGCCTATTATTTGTTCATATTCTTGACATCACTTCCAAGGTTTGTAAAGTTTTTTCACCTGGGAGGTAGATTTGGTCCGTGACTCTTTTCTCAGCTGGATCTTGCATTTGGGTGTTTGAAAAGCTGCTGGGGGTACTTGAAGGCTCCAGACAGGGAGCTTATGGGGAGAAAAAGTTTTGGGGCCCAGGTCAGCTAGCCTGGACTTAGTGTGTCACAGTGCTCAGCCGTTGCACCTTGAGAAAGCTGCCAAGCAGATGTCTGCATCCTCCAGCTCCACTTCCTGGGCATGTTCTGAGCAGCCACAGATAGGGACTCCTCAGTCAGACCCGCCTGCATGCTGTCCTGGCACTGCCCTAGGCTGACCCACAGCCCACCACTCGCATCACCTAATCCAAGACTTGGGGCCAGGAACTCAGGTGGGAGGCCTATCCATGTCTGGCTTCCCTTCATGTGTCCTCTTGAGGCAGCCACATGGGTCAGGTACTGCATGGACGGAGCAGTCTGTGATTTGGTCCTTTCCTGGGACTAGAATGGAAGAGTACAGAACAGAAATTACAAAGCTAAGCTGCTTCAAAGCACAGAGGAGTGCTGTGTCCATGGAGCAGGGACAAATGAGCCTGGGTGACACGGGTGTGTACAGACTTGCAACAACAGTTTTATAGTGCAAGACCCACAGTCCTGTTGCCTACTGTGCTGACCTGTGTTGTCCTGTCTGACTGAGCTGGCCAGGTTCTCCCAGAACAAGTGAGGGACAGGTCAGAGCCAGATACCTGGGGGAGAGACACCCATTCCTCTTTCTTGTGTGGCTGGGGCACCTCCCTGAGCCTTGGGTTTTCCCATCTGGAGCAGCGAAGAGTGGGGGCTATGTGGGCAGCTATGGGATTGTTCCTCAGTGGCTCCACCAGACTTAACTGTCCTAGACCCATGCTGGTCCCATGGCGCGTCCTCGTGGGCCCCTCGAAGGAGGCCTGCTGTGTGGCCCTGCACAGAGTGCTTCTGCCACACCCACCCATCTGGCACCCTGTGCTGCTGCTATTTGGACTGCTTCCTAAACCCAGGTTACCTGTATTACACACACACGTGCCATCGACCCACCTCTCAGGCCCAGGCTCCCCCTGGCACTGCAGCTTGAACCTTGCTTTTGGCCTCATCTCCATTCCTCTGTGGCCCCAGGACACACATCTTAAGGATGTCCTGTCTCCTGACGCAGGCATTCGGGCAGGCACACACGAATCACAAGAAAGTAGCCGCGGATGGTGAGAGCCGGGAGGAGAGTCTGATCCAGGAGTCAGCCTCCAAGGAACAGTACTATGTGCGGAAGGTGCTGGAGCTGCAGACAGAGCTGAAGCAGCTGCGCAACGTCCTCACCAACACGCAGTCCGAGAACGAGCGCCTCACGTCAGTAGCCCAGGAGTTGAAGGAGGTAAGTGGTTGGGGCTGGGGAGTGTGGCACTGTGACAGTGGCACTGTGGGGCTGGTGTGCTGATACCATGTGGCTCAGAAGAGTTGGCTGTAAGCTGGTGTGGTGGCATAGGCCTATAATCCCAGCACTTGGGAGACTGTGGCAGGAAGATTGATGTAGGTTCAAGGCTAGCTTGGGCTACATAGGAAGTTTAAGACCAGCCTGGACTATGTAGCAAGAATGTGTCTTAATAAATAAATAGATGAATGGAAGCAGAGGCTGTGGTTTCTGTAGCTTTATTTGGGCTCCATCTTCGATCTCCAGTGCTGTTCAGAAAGAGCACACAGACTGCTTCATCTGGGCAGTCCCTGTGTCACTAGTGAAGTGGTTCCCATAAACCAGGGCTTGGGTGCGGTGCCTAGGTCCATCCATCACTGGACACTCTTCACGTGGGAGCACTTTATCTTGCTCAGGGAGAGTCCTACAGGCTTTGATCAGGGCCTCAAGAAGGAATGGTCCAGCTTATGGTTGGAGGGCCATGGGCTGTGGGTAGGTGAGAGAAGCCAGTGCCCCCTAAGGAAGAGTGGGACCCCATTACCAAGGCAGGCTGACCATGAGGGACAACAGATAGTCCCCTCATGAGCTGTGTTCCTGGCTGTGACCTACCTGGCCGTGACCTCAGAGGTCAGCCTCCAGGTTTTCAGATGGCGTGGGTTCATGCTGGGCAAAGCCTTGCCTCGGTTCTGACCTCAGTTTCCCCTGTTTATAAACCCATAGTCTCCAAAGCACCTTGTAGGAAATACCTACCTGTGCTCCATCACCCCACATCCTGCATGTACCCCTTGGCCCCTGTTCTATACACAGGAGTCCTACTCTCTGCAGTGAATGTCAGAGAAGGCGGCAGAGCATCAGCCATGACGTGTGGGCCCCGTGGGGATGGCTTCCCATTGCAGGATCTGCTGACCAGCCACATTAGGGAGTGGTTGCTTCCCCTTGACCTGGGGGCTCCATGGACCCCAAGAAAAGCTTGCCTGGACCCTGGGGGCCAGCACTCAGACCCTGGAGCAGCTGTTGTAAACCTATGGCATGTGCAGTATTTGTTTTCCTTTTAAGATATAAACATTAGTGTGTGAGTTAGTTTTTCTAAACTGGAATCTAGTATTCAGGTTTAATTATAGTAATAAAACTTTGCAATATGTAAGTGGGTTTTGGGTTGCAGTTTGGACGCTTGTCTCTAAAAGGTTCGCCATCGCTGCCCTAAAGGTACAGTGCCTGATCCTGTTTCCTTCACAGGATTGCTCTGGTGAGGTAGGAGGAGATGGAGCTCTGCGTATCCTGGCTACTGTCCATCTGTCTGGCCTCTCTTTTCCTGAAAGGCCACTGGAGGCGTTCACTCCCACCCCACATATTCTGCCCTGTTCCCAGGCAGCTGAGAGGGCTACTTGACCGTGACCCTGCTGGGCCGGAAATGAGCTCAGCGAGCTAAAGCCAAGTGTGGGGAGATTTCTGCCGTTCCTGTTTGCTTCAGGAGGAAATTCTGATTCTCCTTATGTAACTGTGCAATTCTCTTTTCTCTCCTTAGGGACCCCACCTACACTCCCATGGCAGTGGCACACTGCCCTGTAGCAGCAGTACCGCTTCCCTCCATTGCTGTAGAGCCTTAGGGAACCCCACGGGGTTTCTGCCTCCTGTGTACCCGGCTGCAGTGGACACTCTGCTGCCCATGGAACCTCTCTCAGCACCTTTCCCAGTTGTAGCCAGCTCCTTTCTGTGCTGCTGTTGTTTCTGCATCTGAGCTACTGTGCTGAGTGCTCAGTCACTAGTATGGCTGTCCCTCACTGCCCAAAGCTGGTTACCCTTTGGGTTGGAGAGAGTCCCTGTGTCTCCTACCCACTGGTCTTGCTGGCATTTGGCATCCAGTGATGGGCTGCAACCTTTACTCACTATCCATGCCCTGACAGCACTCACCTTGTTTCCACCCTGGACTGCTGGTCTAAATATCTGTCCCACTCCAAAGCCCAGCATACCATGAGGACACCTGAAGGTTTATGGCTCCAAATAACTTGGCCTGTGTCCAGTGGTCTTGACTACCTCAGACTAGTCATCATGACAGCACTTCCAGTGTTCTTCACACATGAGGAAACTGAGGCCAGTGAGCCCTGGGGTCCTGATCTGTGACCTTCTTGCTACCTGTGGGCCTGTGGTGGACATCTGGGTGGCTTCTGTCCTCTTGGCATTCTTTTTTGGGGTCTACTATCCTGGTAAGTAGGTAACCATTCTAGGGAGTGGCCTGGAGAGGACCTTGGTGGGGATGTGGCCCCATTTCCCAGACCCGAGGCTGCTTAGCTCCAGCAAAGGGTGGGGTAGGGCAGGGGCTGTCCTAGGCTATTGGGGCGGAGACACAAGTCCAGAGGCAGAACAAGAGAGCAGCAGCCCCCCTGCAGCCTGGCTCCTTGTTAGAATAAGACCCTAGGTGGTCAGCTCTAAGCCATTTGCCCACTTCCTCCAACTGGGCCACTCATCTGCAGAGCCAAACTTGTTCTCTGCTCTCTGTTGGGCTAGTGTCAGACAGGTTTGCCTGGGTGGAGGTGCTTACCCAAGGGAAAACCAAAAACCCCTGGTGACTAGTCCCAGCCTGCCTGAACTCTCTCTGGAGTCGGGTGGATGCTGGGCAGTAGTAGGCCCACAAGCTCTGCTGCTGTGATGTTGTTTGGGCAGAGGCTCTGTCACTGTGGAATGGAAGTGCAGGTGTTTGGGTCCTGCCATGTCAGCAGAGATGGTGCCCCCACCTGCCAAGTAGCATTGCCAGGCTAGCGTGAGGCTTTCATGCGCCTCTCCATTCTTGTTCTTATGTATGGCCATACAGACCCAGCCCTCTGTTGGCCCAAACATGTTACCAGCAGGAGTCCATCATGACTGGCATCCTGGATTCCAGCTCCAGCAGTATTGCAGGGCCTGGATGCCAGGGGTGCGAGAACTCAAACAGATGGGACATATTTGTTTTGCTTTTGTGGTGTGGGGGATGTGACCCAGGGCCTGGAATGTGTTAGACAAGGTCTGTAAATCTCCATTCTACAACATCAGTTTTTTAATACATCACTCCAAAAAGAAACCCTGTTCACAGTTAATCCATCCCCTGCTAATCTGCTTTCCACCTCTATGGATTTGCCTGTTTTGGGCAGCTCGTGTCAGTGGACTCGTACGGGCTTCTTTCACTCAGCAGCATGTTGTCAGCGTTCATTCATGTTATAATACGCAGTGTCAGGATGTCGTTCTTTATTGTGGCTGAAGTGTATTCCATGAGACAGGCAGATCACATTTTCTTCATCCAGTCACTTGATAATGGGTTCTTGGATGGCTTCCACCTTTCAGCCGTTGTAAGCAGTGCTGCTGTGAACATTCATGGAAAGGCTCTTGTGTGACATGTGTTCATTTCTTTGGGGTAGACTCTTGTTTACTGAGCACCTACAGACTTTGTGCCATGGCATTGCCCCATTTACCTGCCACCAGGCAACCCCATCTTATAGGTGGAGACACCAAGGTCAGAGCAGGGTGAGTTATCTGCCAGTATTCCCCAGCTGAAAAGGGCTGAAAGGATCTTACTGGGCCATTGGCCCTTCCCTACACAACACAGTGCCCAGATGCTTGGGCCCTAAATCCTGTCGATGTGGCATGTCCTCCTCTTGTCACTTGGAGGCAGGGCTTGTGGGCCTCTGTGAAGGCCGCTTACCCCCATCTTCTCTGTGCCCTGACAGATCAATCAGAATGTGGAGATCCAGCGGGGCCGCCTGCGTGATGACATCAAGGAATACAAGTTCCGGGAGGCCCGGCTGCTGCAGGACTACTCAGAGCTGGAGGAGGAGAACATCAGCCTGCAGAAGCAGGTGTCTGTGCTCAGGCAGAACCAGGCAAGTCTGAGTGGAGGCTGTGTCGGGCGCATAGGTCGGCTCTGGGCCTCGGCCCTCTCACCCAACCCTCTTTTCTGTGTTTCTGTCTCATTTTCAGCTGGTGCTGAGAACCAGCACCAGCAGCACTACAGTTGAGGCAGGGCCCACAGCCAACAGAGCCTAGACTCCCCAGGTCCATGGAACAAGATCTGTGGCTGCAGTGTTTGCTGACCCCTGGCAGGTGAGGCGGGCAAGGAGCAGTCCAGAAGATGATACAAAGTTCACACTAAAAAACCTGAGACTCGATCTATAAGTGCCATCTCCCTCGGGTGCTGCCCACAGGCTGACACTTTACCATGTTCTGCCTGGGCAGGGATGAGGAGGGTCCTGTCCCTGGGGTGGGGATTCTGAGGGTGCCCTCTGAGGATAAGGTGATCCTGGGACCTGAGGACCACAAGAATACACTCCCGCACTGTCCAAGATTCACAACCCTGCAGGGAACGTTTTCTCCCAGGAAATCCCGCACAGTGTCCCAGAATACCAAGTACGCTGTGCTTGCTTTCTTCAGAACTCTGTTACTGCCTGGATCCTCTCAGTGCAGAAAGGTCTCACTGTTGTGTGTATGCAGAACTCCCTGTGTTTGTAAAAGCAAGCATGGAGCAGATTCTTTCCCTAGAAAGCCTCAGAACACAGCTCACAGCCCCCATCAGGCAGCAACAGTTTGTGCTTAACTTTGTGTGTTCATGTAAGGACCACTGAGTCATTGATTTACTTAGGCAGAGCCTGTCCCACATTACTCTGAGGAGAGGAGAGCTGAGGCTCACACATACCCTGCCCTCGGTGGGGTTTCCTTTCTGGTCCCCACTCTCTGGGATCCCTCACCTTCTGATTTGTTGCACTAAGGTGAAGAGGATTCCATGCCTACTTCTCATGAGCACTCCTAGAATGTGATATGTGGTGTCTCTTCTTACCCAAAACCCATGAAGACTGATCAGTGCTTCATTTCATTGGTTTATTTTTTAACAGGACTGTAGAATAAGACAAATTTTTAAAAACTTGCCCACAAAAACAAAAAGACTTGCCCACAAGCTGTGACCCCTCCCACTAAGCATGAGCTTCCATCTGCTCTTTTCCTCCTGTACCTGCAAATATGGTTTTGCGTTGGCAAGACTGAGCTTTCTAGCCACCTCCAGTTCTGCGTTCTGAATTTAGCATTGCGGCATTCTGCCTTCAGAAAGTCTGTTCCTTTATTTTGAAATGTGATTCAAAATAATGGTCATAGCACACACTGCAGTACATGCTTTATGTGTCCTATAGTATGTGATTGGCTATTGATATTGAGTAAGTTTTTTGTACAGTTTAAATCAGCCCTAACTTGATATTTTAAGAATCCTAATAGAAATTGGGCCATATAGATAAGTGTTCTGAAGCCTGAGACATTGCAGGCTCCATGTAGTGTGTGCCTTGGGGCACACTGGACCTGGTAGTGGGCTGCACACTTCCATGCATTTGCACAGCATGCCTGGTACCCTCTTAGCAGACGTCCCTTGTGGAGGACATGGGCTCAGCCTGAGTGGCCGCCGCCTCTTCTGTAGGGAGATGCTTTTCCTCATGAGTCACTTTGCTCTTTGTGACCTGGTGCATTTTCTTAATTTATTGGACCTTCGTGGAGCCTTCCTCTCATCAGATTGTTCAACCTCCCTTTCTCAGGTGGAATTTGAGGGCCTCAAACATGAGATCAAGCGCCTGGAGGAGGAGACTGAGTACCTTAACAGCCAGCTGGAGGATGCTATCCGGCTTAAGGAGATCTCGGAGCGGCAGCTGGAGGAGGCACTGGAGACACTGAAGACAGAGCGAGAGCAGAAGAACAGTCTGCGGAAGGAGCTGTCGCACTACATGAGCATTAACGACTCCTTCTACACCAGCCACTTGCAGGTCTCCCTGGATGGCCTCAAGTTCAGTGATGACACCACTGCTGAGCCCAATAACGATGCTGAGGCTCTAGTTAATGGATTTGAGCATGGTAGCTTAGCCAAGCCCCTGCCGGACAATAAGACATCCACACCCAGGAAGGACAGCCTGGTGCCCCCCTCTCCCAGCCTTGTTTCCGATCTGCTCAGTGAGCTTCACATCTCTGAGATCCAGAAGCTGAAGCAGCAGCTGGTGCAGGTGAGTTGGCAGGGCCTTGTGTGCCAACTGTCAGCATGCACTGCCGAGTAGGGCTTCCCTGGAACTGTTGTTGGTATTAATTTACTTACGTCAATTTTAAATCATGTCATTGACATAAATAAAACTCCACAGTGCAGAGAGGGTAGCCCCAGAGAAGTCAGTGTCTGGTTAGAGGGTGGGGTTTCACTGTGTGATGCACATAGTGCTTCCCGTTGCCCACACTATCAGGTGAAGACACAGTGCTGGCCTTTTGTGTGACACTTTCTCAGGCTACAGCTGGGCTCATCTCTAAGGAGATGGCTCCTCCTTCATCCAGCAGATCTAGTGCCCTGCACAGTGCATAGGGAGGAGGGTGGCAGAGCTTCCATGTTCCAGAGCAGAGAGCTGAGGCTGAGATGGTCCCCTCCAACCTCCCCTGTCACCCAGAGAGCACACTCTGAGCCCGGCTGGCCTATAGCAGGAGTGGGGACAGGGTCCTCATGAGTGACCTATGCTACTGAGGGTAGGCACAGCTCTAAAGGCCCTGTGTGGATTTTCCCCACTCGGCCTATACTATGTGTGTCACTGACAGTGTAGTCAAGAAACCTTTTGCCAGGCCAGCTTGGATGTCCTCTGAGCCTGCTGCTGAGCTGTCCTGCTGCTTGTGCTTTACAGATGGAGCGGGAGAAGACAGGCTTGCTGGCAACACTGCAGGACACACAGAAGCAGCTGGAACAGGCGCGGGGAGCTCTCTCAGAGCAGGATGAGAAGGTGAGCCGCCTTACAGAGAATCTGAGTGCACTGCGGCGCCTGCAGGCTGGCAAAGAGCGGCAGACTGCCCTGGACAACGAAAAGGACCGAGACAGCCACGAAGATGGTGACTACTACGAGGTGGATATCAATGGGCCCGAGATCCTGGCATGCAAGTACCACGTGGCTGTGACAGAGGCCGGCGAGCTGCGGGAGCAGCTTAAGGCACTGCAGAGCACACATGAAGCTCAGGAGGCCCAGCATGCAGAGGAGAAGGTTCGTTACGAGGCCGAGGCCCAGGCGCTCTCTGAGAAGGTGTCCCTGCTGGAAAAGGCCAGCTGCCAGGACCGTGATTTGCTAGTCCATCTGGAAAAAGAGCTGAAGAAGGTGAGTGATGTGGCTGGTGAGACCCAGGGCAGCCTGAGTGTGGCCCAAGATGAGCTAGTGACCTTCAGCGAGGAGCTGGCCAACCTCTACCACCATGTGTGCATGTGCAACAATGAGACACCCAACCGTGTCATGCTGGACTACTACCGGGAAGGCCAAGGTAGGGCTGGGCGCATCAGCCCTGGGGGCCGCACCAGCCCTGAGGGTCGTGGCCGCCGCTCACCCATTCTGCTGCCCAAGGGGCTGCTGGCCACAGATGCAGGCCGGTCAGATGGTGTTGCTGGGGACAGCAGCCCCTCCCCCAGCTCTTCGCTGCCATCACCTCTGAGTGACCCCCGCCGGGAGCCCATGAACATCTACAACCTGATTGCAATCATCCGCGACCAGATCAAGCACTTGCAGGCAGCTGTGGACCGAACAACAGAGCTCTCCCGGCAACGCATTGCCTCCCAGGAGCTGGGCCCAGCTGTGGACAAGGACAAGGAGGCACTCATGGAAGAGATCCTCAAGCTGAAGTCGCTGCTTAGCACCAAGCGGGAGCAGATCACCACTCTGCGCACTGTGCTCAAAGCCAACAAGCAGGTGAGCCGGTGTGGTGGTTGTCTTCTCTCCTTGGTCTCTGTGCCTCACTGCTGCAGGGCTTCCCAGACATGTGTCGTCTCAACATGGAGCTGACTCCAGGTCAACTTCAGCTCCAGCCAGGATAATGGAGTGAGTGGAAGGGCTGGGCAGGCACCATTGCTGTGGACCACCTCACACCAGTTCCTGATGCTAATGAACGTGACAGCCGCAGCCTGAGTGCCCTGGCAGAGTGGCACTGGGCTGTGCAAGGGTCTGCAGGGCAGGGTTGGGGTTGCCCAGTCCTTCCTTGTGGTCAGGGTCAGCAGGTGGTATTCACTGAAGTGGCTGGGCGCCCCTAGCTTGGCTGCTTGGGTTTATCCTCAGGCTGCATCAGAGGGAGGTGTCTCCCCAAGTGATTTTTGAGGGTTTCTGCACCACCTGGGACCTAGAGTCTCCACCCAGATCTAAAGGGCTCTAGGCTAATTCCTAACTTGAACGTGTCTGCCCTAGACGGCTGAAGTGGCCCTCGCCAACCTGAAGAGCAAGTACGAAAATGAGAAGGCCATGGTGACTGAGACCATGATGAAGCTGCGCAACGAGCTCAAGGCCCTCAAGGAGGATGCAGCCACCTTCTCCTCTCTGCGCGCCATGTTTGCCACCAGGTAAGTGCACCTTCTCTGACCTTGCTCTCGTGCAGTCTCAGTGCTCACCCTCAGCCCCTGTGCCCAGCTCCATTAGCTCAAGATTTGGAAAGCCCCAGCCCCAGCACAGGGGCTCACGTTGGTGACAAGGCAGGGCAAAGAGGTAACAAGGACTGTGTCACATTGGTCCCCTCAGCCATGTGTCCTGTGGGCAAGTTCGCCAGTGCAGTCTGTGCCTGACAAGTGCCATGTGTGCTGACCTTAGGCAGAGGCTCTGCAGTCCTTTCTCCTGTTCCTGTTGCTGCCAGGCCCTGCTACCAAGAGCGTGGGTCTGCAGGCTTTTTCTGTTTTATTATTAGTGAAAGCCTGGCAGGCTCAGCTTGTCTCATTTGTACATGAGGCTGAAAGGCACAGGGTCTGGGAGTATTGAGCTTTGAGGTTGGGTGGGATCCAGTGTTCGAGAGGTATGGGTAACAACGATTCCTGTGACTGACTGTGAGGCACATACATACAGTAGGCTGAAGCTGGGGCAGGGTTCCTTTCCTGGCTGGTGAGTCCCTGTCAGGACACCCCTGCACCGATCTACACTTTACGGCCACCCCACCTGGCCTTCCAGGGAAGTGAGAGGAGCAGTTCAGGGGTTCAAGCTCCAGAGGGGAGCAGTTGTGTTTCCACCCTGCTAGGCTTGGGAAGATCAGACCCTAGACTGGAAAGCACGGCCTTTGCCTTTCACACTCCAAGGATGGGTGATGCCACCTCCTGGTGGATGTTGTTATGGCCTGGGGGTTGGCCATGTCCCCTGCACGCCCAGCACAGAATCTGGTGCACCTAGCAGTTTGCTGTGGTGGCTGAGGAAGTGGAGACTCTGAGGGAGACAGAATGGGAGCCAGGTCAGGGCTGGTGTCCCTGCAGCATAGGAATTGAGACAGGAAGAGGTCCAGGGTTTCTGTACAGGCTTTCTCTCTTCTTGGAGCTTAGGGAAATGCTTGAGGAAAGATCCTACAGCTCTTCAAACTTGTTTTATTTAAAGGTCTGACCTTTCAGATGGGGCCAGGATTTCAGACCTGTAAGGTTGGTGGCACAGTGCATGTCTCTTAAGAAGGCACTGTCAGGGGACCACTTCACAGGGTGTGGGCACAGGCAAGGCAGGGCTTTGAGAGCAGAGAAGGCACTGCTCAGTGATGAGCCACACTCTGCCCTGAGCCTGAGACTTCACCTCCGCAGGGTCTGTGTTCCTGCAGGTCCCACCCACAGGTGGGATACCAGAAACAGCAGAGTAGGCATTAGTTCTCCTCCCCAGGTCCACACCTGGTCAGGACAGGTGTGTCACAGTAGGTGGAGGCCTGGGCTCTGGCTGTTGCTCAGCATAGTCTTACTAAGCACCATTTCAATGTTCAAGCGCAAGCAAGCCCAGTCCTGCCTTGCTTTCCACCCAAACCCTGGAAGCCAGTGATGTCTCAGTGCTGAGCTTCCTCCTGGCCTTCAAATGGGGAGATCACCCCACCAAAAGGCAAACTGCTGAACATTATAATGTCTTGAGGAAATACAGCTGAACAAGCGAAGCACGCTCACCAAACCAGCACAGAATCTAAGCCAACCTTACAGGGCTGCCTGCTTGGGGTGCTGAGGGCCCCTCTGACCCTTATCAGGTTTTTGTCTAAAGAAGACTTTGCTAAGAGAAACCACAGCAAACCTCCCTTATCCTGGTCTCATCCCAGGTGTTGCGTGGAGGGACAGCCCTGGTCCGATGCTTTCCCTGGCCTGGCCCTTCATTCATACTCTTGGTCCCCACAGGTGTGATGAGTACATCACACAGCTGGATGAGATGCAGCGGCAGCTGGCGGCTGCTGAGGATGAGAAGAAGACACTTAACTCCCTGCTGCGAATGGCCATCCAGCAGAAGCTAGCACTGACCCAGCGGCTGGAGCTGCTTGAGCTGGACCATGAGCAGACCCGGCGGGGCCGCACCAAGGCTGCCCCCAAAGCCAAGCCAGCCACCCCGAGCGTAAGTCACACCTGTGCCTGCGCAAACGACAGGGCCGAGGGCACCGGGCTCGCCAACCAGGTGTTCTGCAGCGAGAAGCACAGCATTTACTGTGATTAGGGTTGTGGGGCGCCGCATGCCACAGCTAACGTCTGCTTCACTTCAACTAACCCCGCAGCGGTGGGACAGTGGTGCTAGGCCAGTCTTAACGTGACTAATGCACGGAGAGCAGGATTCTAGCTGAGTGGCAGCGCGGGGCATGGCTGTCACCAGGACGCTCCTGTGAGTTTGTGCCGCTTCCTACTCCAGTTCCCTCAGGAGCACTGGGTTAGTTGCTATCTTACAGGTTCAGAGGTAGGGATGGAGCTGTGTACCCTGGTGGAAGCCAGATGTGTGGAAGTGTCTCCTAGGGGTCCCGGACACCTTAGGGAGAGAGTCCTGTCCCACTCCCTCAGCGCCCACAGAGGGACAGAACCTGAGTTGGAAGTTGCATGTTCCTTGTATGTGTGTAATGTCAGCACCTGCAAGCAGTTCTAGGAGGTTCCAGTGTACGCCACAGGCCGAGCCTCAGTGGGCGACTCTGTGGTTAGCAGGGTTCCATGGAAAGTTATGTTTAGTTTGTGCAGGATCTCACTACAGGTCCCATCCAGGGCAAAAGTGCAGGATTTCATCCTTAAACCTAGACAAGAGTGGTCCTGAGCACCTGCATTCTGCAAATGAGACTCACACACCCTGCAGCCCAGAAGAGCAGAGCTCAACAGCCCCAAGGTCTTGTTTCTGAGATCTGCATGCTGGCCTGCTGGCCTGCAAGGTGACAAACTGGCAGGCCGGAGGCCAAGGGCTTCCTCCTTTAAAGAGAAAAGTGTTCCAAGTGCCTGGCCAGACCTTCTGTATTGGGGTAAATTAGCCACCTGTTTTTGGGCCTTGCTCTCAAGTGCTTTAGGCCCGAAGAAGCAGGGTGTGGAGAGTCACAGCCTGAAGTCTGAGTGGCCAGTGGACTTGGCTGGTCACACACAGTGGTAGCAAAGCCGAGCCCACACTGAGAGGGTGTGGCCAAGGCCCAAGGCTGGTTCCCAGACTTGGCAGGATATGGGTGGTTCTCCAGTTCAGTTTGGGGGTGCCAACAGAAAGCAGAAAGTCAGCTAAGGGCTCCCCTGGTTCTCAGAGGCTTCATCCACACCAGAGCTGGGGCACTGGCTATCTGAAGCAGAGCCCTTCTTAGTGTTTCCCTCCTGGTTTCCCAGGGAGCAGCAGGCCTGAGGCTGCCTTCTGCTCTCCTGACAGCTGCTTGTCTGCCTCCTTCTAGAAACAGGGTTGGTGCCGTTACACCACACAGGGCTGGCCGTGTTGTCCCCCACACAGCTGTCTGTCCCACTGTTTCCGTTGGTGCCGAAGGTGACTTGGTCTTCTGCAGATTTTAGGCAATGCATGGTACAGAACAGTAGGAACGTAGGATAGGACATGGGTGTGCCCTGCACATCCATCCTGGGGATGGCTGCCTGCATGCCTGCCCCCCGCCTTGCTCTCTCTTCACCAGGCCAGCACGCAGCTTCTCTTGTACCTGTAGGGGGCTTTGCGGTCCCTCAGAGCCACCGGCCCCCCTAACACACATGCAGGTCTCCTCTGCCAACTAACCGGCTCACACACTCCCAGCACGATGAGAACTTAGTTGTCAAGTGAGCAGGAGGCAACAGGTGGCCCTTTTCTAATGCTGTCTTGTTTTCTCCCATTTTCAGCTGTAGAGTAGCTGCTGGGAGGAAGTGGCCACCCGGCCCTGTCACACTGCAGTCCCCCCCTCCCCTCCCGTGGCCCAGGCAAAGGAAGGAAGGGTAACCTAAAGTCCACTTAGAAATGTTTTGGATATATCACTGCAATTTTTTTCCAATAGTACACCCCAAGTTTTTACTGGGAGGGGAAAAAGCTTTAATACAGAATGCCGTGAGCGCTGCTTGGAAAGGCCTCTGTAGGGCCGAAGAACCTGCTTCCCAGCCACCACCAGGCTCACTAGGAGCCCGCTGGACACCCGCCACAGGGGTCCTTATTACACACGTTCATTTTTTATCCGATCAACCTGTGCACTTTTGATATTTTGATACTATATTTGCTTCCTCAGTTTCTCTCCTAGAGACGGTCTCAGATGCCGTGGTCTGTGCTTGTGGTCCTGTAGCTGTCGGTTGTAGCTCTGCCGTGTTGATCTGGCATCAGCACAAGGCAGGGCTGTCTCCGTAGTGTGTAGCTCTAGACTGGAGATGAGGCTTTGGCCCAGCGAGGAGCTCGGCTAAGTATATCCGTGCTGTGGTTCAGCAGCCTTTTAGATTATACGGCATTATGGTTCATGTTTGAAATTACAGATTTTAAATGCCATGTTCATTAAGAAATCCAGGGTATTCCAATTCTGGGGTTTTTCATATTGTATTATTATTATTCTTAGGAATAGTTCAATGTAACAAGAAGAAAACTTGACCTTTGTTCTGGTTAAAATAGTAACAGGCACTTGAAAAAAAAGTTAAATTATTGAATAAGTAGTATTACCTACAAATTCCAGAATTTTCTGGGTTTTAGGACATTGTGAAGCATGACTGATTAACAGAATTTTATACAACTGTACCAGTGAAATTCCAAATTGGAATTGTTCTGTTATTCTGGTTGTTGTGCCAAATTATGGTGCACTTAGAAAATTCTACAGTTGTCGATTTTTAGGGTGTTCTATTTCAACGCCTTTTTGTTAGTAATCATTGCCAGTAGTGCCTTCATCAGTTAAGGGAGGTGTCCCAGCAAAGTTACTTCTCCAGAGTGGGTAGTAAAGAGCTCGTTGGGAATGCTGAAGGCCAGTGTGGACCAACAGGTGGCAGAGGTACTCTCCTCACACCTGGACCTGGGCATCTTCGTTGAGGGAAAGAAAACAGTAATTGTGCAAAATTCTGTTAGTCAGTGATTCTTTACTTGCAAATTCAGGGGCTTAGAAAACAAAAACAAACACAAAACCTTGAGTGTGCTTTGGGAACCAAATGGACTTACTAGGACAAGCTAAGCAAGCTGTACGAACACCACGTTTGTGAAGAGAACAGTGAGGAGCCGAGGGCACCAGAGCTGGCTCGGCTGGGGGACAAGGGTTAGCCATAGTATTCTTTGCAAATGTGAAAACAAGGTATTATATCTTCTCTTGCTTGGTGTAACTAATCACTGTTAATTTCAGGAAACAGAACTCATTAAAGATCCTTAGCAAACCAGGTCTGCATCCTGTGCTGTTTGCTGAGTGAGGTTCACGGGTGTGGTCAGATTGGTACTTGTGGAGGAAGAAAAACTGTCCTCCATCCTCCAAAATAAAGGGGACAAATTATAATAATATAAATTACAAGAAATGAAGAATTCTGTTTCCTGGAATGAGCATTTCTTATTCCTATTTGTTGGGACTCCTGTTTTTACCTTCTGTTACAGTGTTGATTCATAAAAAATATTGTTACATTTGAGATAACTTCATCTGTATGGGGTATTTATTTGCATTGTCTACGTACTGTATTTTTCCTGTGCATTACCTTAGTGTCAGAATGTTGGTCTTTATTTTAAAAGTCATATGCATGTTCTCCTGCCAAGGAACCTTTACACAGCCCCAAACAAAAAAACTAATAATAAGCAAATGCCTTCAGTTTCTGAGAAAATGAGGCAGAGCATGGAAAAGGAATAGGAAAGAAAAATAATTGAGACTCAAGACACAAGACGTGGCATGAATGTCTGCAAGGCCAACTCGCATAGGAACAGTGGGCCTGGGTAAAGAGTCTCTTTGGTAGGACCAATAAATAAAGAGTAATAAAAATCAAAGCACACGCCTTGCTTTCTGTGGTTGCTTTGGCCCCTATAGAGATAACCATGGTGCCAGCAGTACACCAGCCTGGGGGTCCCCCTGATGCTGGGATCTGGCAACGTCCTGGGGGTGGAGGGGAGATGTGTGGGTCACACCCTGGTTCCCACACAGGTCCGAGTACCCAGCAGCTGGTCAGAATACACTGTGCTTCCGTGGATTAAAACAATAAGCGACCTGTGCTGTCCTGACTGAGAAGCAGTGGTTTGGATGATGCGGGGTCACGTGGTGGCCAGAGTCTTGCTTCCAGAACCCAGAGGTGAATAGATTCAGGCTACAAGACTTAACCTGTTCATCAACACAGACACCTGTTTAACTGTAGGAATGTGTACTAAGACATGTGGAGCACACGGAAATTACTGCTCAAGGGTAAGGGAAGGTAGGACAGCAGGGTGCACTCTGGTCAGCTCTGAACATCCGTACCCACCCAGGGCTTCCCTCCAGAGGTGTCTCAGGCCAGGGTCTTGTTCTAGGCCTCCCTTCCTTTGCTGACGTTCTTATCCCTTTGAGTGTTCCTCAGCTGACAATCCTATCCCTATTTATTTATTGAGACTAGGTCTTGCTCTGTAATTTAGGCTGGTAACCCATAGCAGTTTTCCTGCCTGAGCCTCCTGAGTCCTGGAATTACAGGCATGCGCCCCCATGCCTGGCTCCCTATCCCTCTTTAGTAGCAGCTGTCATGACCTGCTGTAGGTTTCATTGTTTTAGTTGAATAATGAGGCTGTTAACCAGGTGTGGTGGTGTACGCTTATAATTCCAGCATTTGGGAGATTAAGGCAGAATTGCTGCAAGTTTAAGGCATAGTACAACGTAGATAGACTTTGACTCAAAAAAAAGAAAAACCACACAAACAAACAAACCTGTTGTTTCAGAGTTCTAGGAAAAGGTGGAAGGGAAACCCTACAGAGTAGGGCAGTACGGGGCAGCAGGGCCCATGAGGCACCCTACTTCTCTTTAAATGTGTGGCCACTGTAGCCTGGCTTCAGGCTAAGTGGTTCACATAGGCATCCAGAAGCTGAGCTCCCACCTCTTGCATTCTGGGTCCTTGAATGACCGCCATGCAGAGAGGGGAGCTACCTCAGCAGGTGGAGTCCCAGCACCCTGCGGGAATGGGAAGCCATGTTGGAAGGATGCCTGTGTGGCTGCCCATATGAGATGGAATGGGCTCCATTCCCTCCCATCTTCCATGTCTCTCTGAGAGTTTCACCCCAACACCTGCCTGGTTCCTTGGTCTGAAAACAGTAGTACAGGCTTAGAAGCTGGACCACTGCAGACTGGTTGAATCACCACTAGTTAGTAGCCAGCTGACCTTGGCTAACTTTGCCTCTCTCAAAGTCAAAGGCAGGGGTTCCCGTTAGAGGTCACTGAAGCTTCGTCAGGCCATTGATCTGTCATGTACCAGGTGTTCAGCGCGTGATTGTTAGTCATGTGGTTCTGACATCATCATCATCTCCAAGGCTTTTTAGATACAGGTCAGGAAGCTAGGCCTTTGTTCAGTATGATTTGAGAAATACAATTTTAAGTCAGCTTCTTATACAAGTGTAATTTGTCTGTAGGAAAGTACACGTATCTTAGTGTACAGGCCAGATTTGCACGTAGTAAACACAGCTCTGTAACTAGCAGCTGTGAAGCTCCCCAGCCCCACAGGGTTTAATATTATCGCACACTGTAATGAGGTCTGTCTGCCAGCCCTGCTGAAGTCCTGCGGACGGAGCCTCCAAAAAACGTATTCTGGTTCATCTTTGTTTTCTCTCAGTGTTTTTCTTTCGGCAGTGTCCACACAGTGAAACTGGGAAGGGCTAAGTTGTTATTTGTTGGAGTTTCTTCTGAGTTCTGATTTCTTGAGTGTGATTTCTTGAGCCCAGTCCCTGGTGTGAAAGAGCTTCTTAGAAAACAGCAAAAGGCGGTCCACAGTGCCTACCGTGGAAAGTCCCTTTTTGTCCACATCTGAGGCCTGTATGTGGGCTTCCTGGAAAGAGAGAGCCACAGGGTGAAGTATTCTATCCCCTACCCCCGCCATCCCTTGTGTCGACTATGTAGTTCAGGCTGCCTCAAACTTGCAGCAATCTAGAATGGCTTTCCTTTGGGATATTTGGTGAAGTACATGAAACAGAAGTGGCCACTGGCTGATTGATTGCTGCAAGCTGAATGCAGTGTCATTAGTACCCAGGCAAGCAGCAAATGAGAACAGTTCCTTAAAGCCCTGGTGCTCTCCACACCCCTCCCCCAGGTGACTCCATAACATGCCAGTGCAGGTCTTCTGTACTAATAAATGGAAGCATACAGTAGACACCTGCAGCTTTGATAAATTTACCTGACCCACCTTTGTGCTTTGAGAAACTCACAAAGTCCAACATTCATTCAGGACGAAAACACTGAAGAAAATAGGTATAGAAGGGCCTTATCTTGGTCTGATAAAAGCCATTTTGACAAACCTGTTGCCACCATCATTGTGGATGGGGAGAAACTGAAAGCTTTTCATCTAAAATAAGAAGTGAGAGATGTCACTGTCACCACTCCTGTTCAAAATAGTACTCTCGTCAGTAAGAGCAGTTGGATAAGGAAAATAGAAGGGATATGTATAGGAAAGGAAGAAATGATACTATTAATATTTGCAAAAGACATGATCCTCACATACAAGACTCAATAAAATCTACCAAAAGACTTAAGAATTAATAACCAAATTCAGTAACATAGCAAGATACAAAATCAACACACCAAAAATCAGTAGCATGCCTGTACACCAATAATGAATACACTGAGAATAAATTAGGAAAAAATATCACTCACGATAGACAGTATGGTTTGTCAAGAAAAGTTAAATACTTAAGAATTAATAAGGAAGGGGCTGGGGATTTAGCTCAGTGGCATAAGTACCTGCCTTGCAAGCAGGTGGTCGTGAGTTCGATCTCCAGTACCGATAAAAATGCAAAAGACAAAAAAAAAAAAAAGAATTAATAAGGAAATGAAAGACTACTACAGTGAAAACTACAGCACTGAGTAAAAGGAAATCAAAGGGGAACCAGAAAAGACCCAGAATAGCCAAAGCAATTTTGGCTAATGAGCAAAGTAGAAGGTACTACAATCCCTGACTTGAAGCTATATTACAAAGATACAGTGATAATATAACTGGTACAAAACCAGAGAGAAACAAGTGGAACAAAATAGAGTATCCAGAAACAATCTAAAGCAAATTCAGTTATTTGATATTTGACAAAGGAACCAAAAACATTCATTAGAGGGGAAATAATAGCCTCTTTAGTAAATGGTATTGGGAAAACTGACTGTCTACATAGAATACTATCTACTAGGAGATTGAATCTCGACCGATATCTTTGTACTAAACTAATATTTGAATGGATCAAAAAACTAAATGTTAAGGCATAAATAAGCTGTTGGAAGGCAAAATAGGTAAAATCCTTGGAACCATAGGCCTAGGCAAGGACTTTCTGAACAGAACCCCAGTTGCGTAAGAAATAATACTAAAAGTCAACAAATGGATCATATCAAATTTAAAAGTGAAAAGACAACCTACAGAATGGGAAAAAATTTATTGTTTATACTTCAGAGGACTCATATCTGGAATATATAAAGAACTCAAAAACTTAGTCCCCACCAAAATAGAAGACCCAGTCAAAAAATTGGCAAGTGAAATGAATAGAATCTTTTCAGAAGTACAGTGCAAATGTCCAAATAAATACATCAAGAAATGCACCTTTGTTGGCCATTGAAGAAATGCAAATGAAAATAGCACTGGGAGTCTTATCCCAGAAAGAATGGCCATCATCAAGAAAACAAAGAATAACAAATGCTGGTGAGGCTGCAGGGAAAAAGGACTACTTTGATACTGTTGGTAGGCGTATGAATTGGCACAACTACTTTGAAAATCAGTAAGGAGATTCTTCAAAAAATTGAAACTAGATACTACATTTGACCCAGCTATGCCCCTTCCAAGACTCTTCCCCCAAAGAATTAAAGTCATCCTCTTATACTTATATGCATACCTGTGTCTATAGCAGTATAATTCAGAGTAGCTAGATCTTGGAAACAGCTTATATGCCCATCAATAGATGAATGATTAAAAAAATGATATTTTCACACAATGGAATACTATTCTGCCATACAGGAGAATAAACGTGAGTGATTTGTAGGAAAATGGATGTACCATGAGATCATTATGTTAAGTCAAATAAATCAGATTTGCAGGATTAAATGTTGCAAGATTTCTCTTGTCTGAGAAATCCGAAGTATAAAATAAAAATTAAGTAATAGGAAGTAAGGAGATAGAGCTTTCTCTGATGGGACGGGACTCAAGTGATGAGAGGAGGGCAGAGGGAATACAGAGACAGGGAATGAAAGAAGGAATTAAGATGTGTTTTGTACATGTACCATCTCCACAACAAAGCAACTCATCTCTCTAGAAAATCTTCCCAGCCCCCGGCAAGTATCACCTCAGGCAACCCTTCCCTTAGGAATGCAGTCCTGTGCTTCCTCACTGATAAGACACTTTAAGCAGTTCTCTCCTGGGCATCTCCTTGCTTGGAAGAGCCACACTGTACCATCACCGATAAAACTGACCAATGAACCCTGCAAACAAGCTTTACAAAACCCTGACATCCTGAGGTGCACAGGATGTGTTTCCTTTCAAGGTTAAGATGAGATTAGCTGCTAGAATGACTAACCTCACTGTGTTAGTCCTCTCCTTTCGTTCAGGGCTCAGCCTGGTTTTGAACATGAGTTGGCTGGGTGGGTGCACTTAATAAATCTCCCTGTTTCAATCCATTGGTCTCTCCAGTCTGTTTTCCTCAACATTTTTGGTGGCTACCAAGGGACTGGGGACAGCAGGCTTGCTGTCTCTTTTTGCCTGCCTGCTGGGGACCACAGGACTCACAGTCTGGGGAAGACCCTCCTGTGGACCACCAAGTAAAACTTTAGCTCGAAGAGGGAACCGGAGAACTGCGCTAA